CCACTGTTGAAAATAATTATATTGGGAGTACTAAAAATTCTTTTAAGACTAGATGGTACCAACATATCTTATCCTTCACCAATATTAATATAGTAATAAAAATAGTACATCTCTATCTAAATATTTTGGGAATTTAAAAGAAGTTAATAAAAACTCCTATGGTAATATGGAAAGTTTAAAAAAAAGCTAGCACGTGTAGATCTTTAAATGAACCTTGTTTCTTATGCTTACATGAGAAAATAGAAATTATTAAATCTGTTGATAAAGACACATTATTAAACCAAATAAATGAACTAATTTACATTGTAGGCATAGTTTGCCTTTTACCATACAATATGGTTAAACTTCGAATTTGATAATACTTTTTTTTTACAGTAATAACTGATAATTTCTTGTCATGATATATATATATATATATATATATATATATATATATATATATATATATATATATATATATATATATATATATATATATATATATATATAACATTATCATTTATGCTAAGTTTAACTTATCTATTTGTTGAAAATGTATGTATATATATATATATATATATATATATATATATATATATATATATATATATATATATATTTTGGTTTAGATTTTAGCGTAGGTTTCATATTTGATTGGTTAATCACAGTAAATCCACAAGTCTTATTTTAATTGTTTTTTCTCTTTCTCTTTCAAAAAAGAGCAAGTATTCTGCTTTTGAAATTAATCATTCACTCACCAGTAATTTACTATCGCCTGAGGAGAGACATTTGCAATGTTGAAACAGGACTGCTATTGTGTAGCGATGTTTTTGTTTTAATCTCCGATGATATATATATATATATATATATATATATATATATATATATATTATGTTTTAATTTAATATATATAAAAAATTGTCATCGGCCATAAGAAAGATATAACTTCACAAGAGAAAAAAGACATTGTAAAGTTATTGTGATAGAAACACAACATTGAAAATTGCACCAAAAATTGAGCAGAAATCACAGGAAAACGAAAAATAAAACATTATCAGGATAACAAAAAAACAAAAAACAGAGAAAAACAAACGTGGAAAAATTAATTATATTTTATCTTCTTAGCGAATAAAAAGATCAAAATTACTGGTTGGTTGAGATACATCTGTGATGATACGGTAAAGGATTACAGACGGATGCTAATAAAAGTCTTTGTTATCAATATCATTAATCAGTTAGAAAAAATCAACTCCACCGCTTAATCAATCCAACACACCTGCGATAAAAGAACATTTCTCACCTGTAAGCTATGAGTTTACTCTACTGGCTGTCAAACAGTTGAACATAAGAAAAGAAAATAAAAAATAAAAAAATCAGTTAAAGTAGTATCGTAGGGACCAAACAAATCAGACGTGCAAGTTACTGGAATTGATCTCCATTGTTGAAAAGTGCATATCAATAGAAATCTATTTTATTGACCAGTTTCTTAGTAAAAAAGAAATGATTGCGAGTGTCATTTATTTCTTTTGTTATTCGAGCACTTTGCTTTTCGTTGTAATTACATTGTTTCAATAAATCGATTGAAAGATTGATTGGCTACTACATAAGAAAATTCTTATGGAAATAATTGATTATTAGGAACAACAATAGCTCCTAAGACTTTTTACTTTTTTTACGTTGTCAAATTTTATTATACCAGCGAATATTTTCATAATAAAATTGATATTAAACAACCGATGTTAGTAAAATCATGACCCCACCCCCGAATCTATGATACGGGGCCCTCACTATTACATATCAATTTTCATAAAATAGAATTCATACAAAAATGCAAATTTTATTGAAACGTAATTATGTAAAATAATTATTTATATAATATATAAGAAATATCATTTCTAACATGGATAAAATAAAAATAAACATTATCATTAGAGCAAAATAAAAAAGAAAACATGCTTTTTCTCATCTCCTTCAATAAATAATTTTCAACCATTTTTATTTTTCAAAGTTTGAGCAAGTTTAATAAAAATGATTTCACCTATGAACTTCTAAATGATACAAAAGGATAGAAAATTTGAAGTAAATAAAGGTCATACATTTTTAATATCTAATTTCAAAATTCAATGTAAATTAATTTTAAAACAATTTTGAACAAATATTCTACTCTTCAAGACAGAAAATAATGTAAACGATTATTTATTTCAAAGAATGTAACAGAACCCACCGCTGAATGTTCTCTATCTGATAAAACAAAATTCAATATATGTTCTTTAATGAAGACTTAATTCATGTCAAGGAATCATGACAGAACTCCTTGGTAATTGCCTGTCAAAACAGCTATGTTAAAATCACCTTGAATAATTTGCCAAATAAATTCTAGAAAGCATGTTTTAAGCATAAATAAGAAAAAAAATTAACCGTTTTGTCCTGTTACGTCGGAACGGAAGTGATCACTTCGACATTCACAGATCATATGACAAAAAAACATATCAGTGTCAAAAAAATACCAGTGTCATAAAACACTTTTTCTGACCATTCAGAAAAAAGATATACGCGGTTCTCGTAGAAGTTTTATCTGAGCCACTGACTCACTACAAAACCAATGCTGATTTCATACACGAAGATCCGATCCGGCTGGTATTAGTGACGGGCTTCCACGATAGAAAGCTTAACCGAACACGCCAGACTATACGACTGCTCAGTCCATCAGCAGCGACACCAAAAGGCGCTTCCATTAAAAGTAATGCCTTCGGCTAGCAACGAAATCATCAGCAGCAGACTAACTCTCGATTGCTGCAATTCATGGAATATTTTCCACACAAGTCTATTTCACTAAACCATATACGCATGTTGATTTTCTCCACGTGTCTATCTTGCCCAAACGAATTCTGTGTCTGATATACGATACCCGAGAATGAGCAAGCGATCGAACCTTGTAAATCACGGGAAATAAAATAATCTTTTACTTATCTCAGCCATGTTTTATCTCCATTTGTTGTTCCACTTCCACTTTTTTTCTTGTCAACGGCAAGACCGCCTTTACAAGCAAAAAGTACGAAAAATAATTAAGGGGTTTTATTCTACCTTAAACGTTGGTGTTTTGTGTAGGGGTTTAGAATTAAGAGTAAAAAAAATGAAAACAAACGAGATTTAACAAATAAACTTTATATAAGGATATGAGCAAAGATTAAGGCATAAAGCACTAACTGAAACAATAACGAAGGGCGTACAAGACTGTTATGTTACGTAGTTATTGAATAATAACTAAAATCCATATTTATATTTATTGTATATACATACAATTATGGCACAAGGCCGAAAAGGGGGGACTAGAAAGAGCCAAAACTCCTCCTCCGACAAGTCGAGCCGCTCACGTAGAGGACCTTCACGACACCCTCCAATAGTTCACGACAGAAGACACTCCTAGGCCGAGAAAGGTCACTGGACCGAGGAATGATCGTCAAGGCATATCGACACTCGCGAAGGAAATCCGATTGATCCCGGGGTATACGATGGCGCTCAACCCTTACAATCCCCGCCATAATCGAATCCTCTGTCAATGAGCGGCGTAGGGAAGCCAGCCTCAAGACCAGCTTGTGAATCGCCAAGTATGGCATTCCCAGCCCCCCCCCCCCGACACGGACGAACAATAACTAAAATCCATATTTGATGTTTAAAAATATTTATTTCTAATTATGAGATGCACATTTCTCTGACTGTTCATCTATTTGAAAAGTCTTTTTTTTTTAAATATCGTATCCGGCGCATGCGTGTTGGAACCCTTGCTTTATTTTCCCTTTTTTCTCACTATAAGTAACTCAGATCATCAAAACCCACGATGCAGAGAATAGCAATATCTCCCCGAGAAAGTTGTATGCACTGCAAACGGAGAAAATAGAATAAGTAAACGAATAAGTATAAATCAACATGCGGGAAATAACTTGGTCATAATGGTGGCAACAAGAATACAACTGTATCAAGTTCACGACACAAGCTGTTTGCGATATACTTCCTAGTTCTTTAAACCTGCATAAATGGGACAAAGAAGAAAATTGTGTCCATTATATCATGAAAGAACATATCGCTAGCATATAATAAGTAGCTGCCCGAGAACGCTGCAGTAAGGACCTTACAGGATGGTGCCACAATGAAGTGCTAAGTACAATTGCAATAGCAGTAGAAAAAACATACAAGAAAAGTAATATAAGCCGGAGAGAAAAGAAATACAATTTGTGAATACTGGAAGGATGAAAGGAAAGATGGAAACAACAAGGAAATCAAATGTGCTACAGCACCCCATCGGCAATTTAAAGTGGGTCCTAGAAAACAGTTGAAATCCACAGTATATATTATTGTAACAACTCTTTGATATGATAATATATATTATTGTAACATCCCACCGGGAGAAAAAAAATGCTAATATACGAATTAACAGTAGAATCTTGTGCTCCTAGTTCATGAGTGAAAGATTGGTAAATACCTGGAATTAAATTATGTTTTTAGAGACCCATTTGTCTAGTTGATTTTCATAATTCCTGTTTTATCTAAATCTCTTATTTCTCTTTCTCGTTTTACCCCCAAACATCCTACCGTATTTTATTATTCTTTTCGAAAAATCCAAAGAGATAAAGAACAAAATCATTGCCGACCATAAAACTGAAATTAATTTTTAAAATAGTTTTGTGTAATAAAAAGATAGTTAAGAAAAGAGAAAGGAAAATCAATATTTTATCAATCAGAACATTTAATTTTATTTTTTGAACAAGAAAATTCAATTAGAATGAATTAAATCCATAATAATCCCCAAAGTGGAAAGCTGGGCATTAATGGATTATAAGTAAAAATGTATAATTAATATTTAATTTTACGGTTGCTTTAAGAAGGGGTTAAGTATAGAAGGAAAAAACAAACCTAAAACATTAAAATGTGATTGCTTAAAGGGGAAGTTACTATGTGAATTTTATTATTTACTAAGGGAGATCAATCCTATTTAACTTCCGTGTCAGTTTGTACCGGTAAACATGGCGGGTAAATTGGAAGAAGCAGTTGTCAGTTTGGAAGCTATGGTAAATCATTTTTAAGAAAATTTCTTTTTTTTTTTTTTTTTTCAAACTGATTATTATGTATTTTTTTTTATTTCTTGAAAATGTGTAATCTTGTGGTTTAGCGTGTCAAATTCTCGCGGCTATTGTGAGAGCAGTCGATCAAGTAAACATGAAAACACAAAAAAAAGTAAACATTAGCTCTTAGTCTTCTTAATTGTAAGTATGTATATTGATTTTTTTTAATCATATCATTGGGTACAATTTTGTTAGCTGATACTTTTTTTTCACTTCCCGAAAATGTGATTAAAATAGTATTTAAGAAAATGACTGAAAAAAGGTTTCTATTAGGTTTGGTCGTATAATTTTTTTTGTTGTAACTGACCTTGTCTTCCACAGCGACTGTGATCTGTCGCTCAACCACGAGATCGCTTAAACTAAATAAAATGTATTTTATTTATCATTAAATAACCCAATTAACAATAGGTAAATATTCAGCATAGTTAAACATTTTGACTTTCGTCCATCTTAGCATTTCAAACATTGATTAATCTCGCACGTAAATTTTTTGAACGAGGTTCAAATTCTCCAGTTTTTATTTGTAGAAATCATTTAAAGGGTTTTTTAACGCGAAACTAAACGAAAGATAATGTGAATAAAAAATGCTTATTTTTATGTGAAGTAGCTGGACAATTTTCGCGTAAATTAAAATAGTTTCTCTCTCTCTACAGACATCAAATTCAGCTTTTTTTTTATTTTCTAATCCAAATGATAAAATAATAAATAAATACGTATGGTTGCATTATTTACAAATTTCTTGATACTGTGTCATAATGTAGAAAAATGTAAAAAAGAAAAAAAAAATTTCGCTTTCCGACTTTTCTGAAGATTTATGCAAAAATCAATGCAAATGTTTATCTTTTAAAATACTAACTTTTACCCGGTACGAGGTTCAACAGTCACTCATGGTAGAGGATTCCTGAATGAGGTGTGTGAGAGGAAGTAGAAGGAAGTGAAACTATGAGGATAAGGAGGATAGATAGCGATTGACCCTTGACATTGACATAGTGTGTAGGAGAGGGTCCACTTTGGTCCACAAAGTAACAGTTCTTGTCGAAAAGAATTTGAATGGAATTTCCTCCTTAAAAACAGAATAGAAAATGTGGTTGATATGGACATAGCACAGCGAGTCCTAGATGTAAAGATCTATTCTAAACTAGCAGAACTAAAGAATGAAGCTTATCTGAACATTTACTATGGAAATACCTATAAAGTAGCGATAAACTTGCAAATTTGCATATGTGGGAAAGGGACTGTCGATTGATAAATAAATTATCCCCAAACAAACCGCATATTTGGAACTCTGTTAATGAAGAAAATAAAGATTGAGCCGTAGAAGGAGTCGGGTACTTTCAGGAGTGGTACAAAGGAACCAATTATTTTTCCCGTATCTGTAGCCATGGATTGTAAGTTCCTTTTGAGAACCAGAGTAAAAGCAGATTTTGCTGTGTTATCTATTTAAAATTGCTGATAGATTAATTCACATCGGATTAATTTCAAAATGAAGCGAAAAAAATTAAAATTCGGTGACCTTTCGTTTCCCGTCGATAACAAGGGAGGCTATTCTTGATAAAAATTACAAAATATGTATTAAAATTATCGACTCCTAAAACGGGAAGATCATCCAAATTTTTTTGTTTGCGCTTTGAATTTACTTTGTCAGTGTCAGTATTTGTTGTTTCAAGTTTGATTACGTGTAAATTTGAAAGAACATTTTCATTCATTTAATCTTGTGTTACCTAAAGAAGATTGGCAGAATTTAAGATCAGACACAATGACAGGACGTGCAGGCTTTTATTAAGAATATTTTTCATTTGGTACTTTCTTTACTTTCCCGAAATGCTATCTTGAATAAATTTACTTGACACGAAGCTTGGTTAGCTATTAAAATTAGTAATATTGTAATGTATTGTAATCTTTTGACATTACAAACAAAAGATGCCATGTATTCATTTATTGTTTACTAACTTAATCATTTCTATTTTGAAGCAACAGTATGCATTTGCTTGTACTCGTTAAATGATAGTTTTATCTTTGTCAAAAGAAAGAGAAAGCCTTATTGGCTTGTAACTTTTAATACCTCTAAAAATCAAACTCATATATTTTTATCATCACTGACTTGACCCTGAGCTTTCTCCTGACAAAATGAAAGACTGTGTAATTTACTTTTTTTGTCAGTATAATAAGATTATAGCAACTCTCACTCATCAAACGCAGTTTAAATTTATTATGGTGCTTCACTCTTCACTGCACATCAGTCATCACTTAGGACATTCTTGTGTTTTCTTCTTGCATCCTGTTGTGGATCATATATTCATTTCCTAGCACTTTTCAGTTTCAAAATAATATTAAGTCAAGGCCTACATGCCCATCCCCTAAACAATACCCTCTCCTTTGAGAGTGGGATGGAGTCATTACCTAGGGCTTGAGGCATCCCTAAAAGTAGATACCTCCAATAATTCGCTGAAAACGAGCGTAGCATGATGAAAAAACGCCCAAAACTTAATAAAAACAAAGTTTTATCACCAAAATGCTTGTTATTATTAAGAAAAAAGAAAGAAATATTTCTTAATTATTTTTAAAAAATTTTTTATTCCTTTGGCTTTCTAACAGGTTCAAAATTTTTGTTAAGTCTTTTTTTTTTTTTTTTTTTTGCATCAGTGGTGTAACAGAACTGGTAATGGACATTTTTGCACCCTCTTTTCTGGTTAAATAACACATTAATTCAGAAAGTTTTGCAAAAATGAAATGTCGGATTGTAATGAAACTTTCAGGATTTATTCACAAATGAATTAATTTTTTTTTAATTTTTATTTTTAGAAAATTTTGATAATTTTTTTTTTTTTTTTTGACATTTGTACCACTCACTTAATTAATTTCATGAAATTTACAGAAATTAAATTCATCTTCCAAACTTTTTTTAGTTAAAAGCAGGACTCCTTGAACAATGTAGATCATTTTTTTTTTAACTTTTACCAAATTCCCTAAAATCTATTTCAAATCATAAAATCAAAACTCCAAGAGTATTATCTAATTATTATTATAATTAGGTAGGCTTTTAATTGCTTTTATAAATGATGTATATTATAGTCCAAAGAAGAAAAAACTTTTCAATAAATAATGAATTTTTCAAGAATTCTTTTTTTAATTATAATAATTTATAGTTTCAAAAATGTTTCAAAAATTCTTCCTTGTTATTAAGTGAAGACTATATTTACTAAGTGAAAATTGAAAAGCTTAATACAAATCATCATACCAAAGATTTTCAAAATTAAAATTTTTTTTTTTTTTTTTTTTTTTTTACATCTATAAACATGCCAATTTTGAAAGTATGGGTGACCATACATGACATTATCAGAAAATAAGATTGAACATGATAGTAAATTTACAGTTAACATTACTAAAATTACATTATGGAAAATATTTCCAACATTTTTAGGATTACTGAGTACTTAAACATTATATAAAAAAGCGTTCACCTGTCAGTTTCTTAAATAAAGTTTTAACACATAGGGTCCCTGTAGAACAATAATAAAAGTGTCAAGACCTTGTAAATCAAGTGATTTACAAGGTGTTGACAAGCATTTAATTGCACTACTGTTTGTTTTAAAAATCCATTCTGTTATTTTCAACTTAAAGTAAATAATATTTGTTTCCAATCAGATTAATTATACTTTAAGTCAGCTAATATTTTCAGAAAAGTATATTATATTTTGGAAGATTTTAAAAAATGAGAATTAACTTTTGTTTACAAATGTGTCAAAAATTGCTGATTTTGTAAAAGCAGCCAAAAAGTTGAGATTCAAATCAATATAATTTCCATTGAAAATACTCGGAGTATTTTGCTTACTGGAAATAGCAAATTTGATCATTTAGTTTTCAATTAAAGCTAAAAAGAAAGCTTCAAGAATGCTTTTTCATTTTTAAAAATTCATTTCAAACCTTAGGTATTGAAAATTAGTGGCAGTTCCTACTAAAAAGGATTCCTCGGATAGCACAAAGCTAAGAAATTGATTATTCCCAAGTTCATATATTCAAACTACACATTTCTGCATTTGTTCATTTTCAACAGCACTTCTGGCTATTTCAGAAGTGATACCACAGATTTATTTCTACAGGCACTATATCAGATAAAAGAAATAATATTGCTGGAAAGAGCATGTTTTCAGATACAAAATGCTTTTTTTTCACATAGTCCCTACTATTGGCTCTGCATTTTTGATTGAAATAATATTAAAAGCCCTTAAAAATCAACATCAGCAGAGGTGATCTCGTTTTTACACTCAGCATATTACCTAACAGCTAACTGTGCTCACATCTATTCTTTGATGCCTGTAAATCTTAAGCAAGTGTCAATGTGAACAAATTAAAAAATTTTTTCCACATGAAGAAATTCAATGAATACCTTTGCTTGCTACGCACTTTCATGTCAGAAGCCATTTTATCAGAATAATATTTATGACAAGTTAAAAGAAATTATGAGTTATTGACAGGAAGGTTCAAACTTTATTGCCATACTACCATGTTCTGCTTCTGATGTTGTGAGCCAATGTAATATGAAGCATTACTTTTGGAGTAGCCATTGTAATATTCCAACTTTAAGTTTGTGTCTTAGTCTCTCCATTATGACTGGCATATGCTTTCTGTGTGCATTTTATCATTATACAAAAAACATATTTAATTATATTGCTTTTTTAGGTCAGGTCAGGCTTAGGCCTGCTACTGGTAAAATGTAAGCAAGTACAATGGACGGGTGGTTGGTGTCTAAACCAGCTCCCCACTAGCTTTTCTGTTGGTGAGGAAGGTGGCATATCACTATATAGGACAAAGAACAAGGCCTCTCAAATGGTGAATAAACTTCTTATAAGAGTCAACATCAAACACACACACACACACACACACACACACACACACACACACACACACATATATATATATATATATATATATATATATATATATATATAGGATGTGGTCTCAAGTCTTGAATGGCAACCTTCCTAGAGATGGTGTTTAGATAAAAATACTGTGTATTTGGATTATCATGAGTGTCTATGTGTTGGGTGTCAGGAAGAATATCCAACCTTGTAAAACCTTGCCTCAAATCATTGTGACAAGGGCCTACCTTGCTTTGTGCAAGATTAATCCTGGCCCTGTATAAAAAACATGTCTATGTATGTATGTGATATTTTCTTATTTACTCTTATTAGGACTTTTAAAATGGAATTTTATATCAGGAATAGTCTTCTACAGTAAATAATGATTTACTTTGTAATGATTTAACTTTTTTTTATTTATTTATTTTTATATTTTTTTCAGTTCCAGAAGACGGAATCAGATCTGAATCATTTAACACGGAAATTAGATTTTGAATTGCAAAAGACTGGCTTCTCGGTAAACTGGAAATGTTTTATTTAAACTTGAAAACACCTAGATATAATTTTTACTTTCACATGATACAGCAATATCTCTACTTTGATATATAACTAAAATTCTTAATATAAGTACCTCCACGAAATCGCTAAAAAAGAGCATAGCTTGATGAAAAACGCCAAACTTGCCGAAAACTAAATTTTATTGTCTAAATGCTTATGTTATTATTAAGAGAAAAGACCAAAGTTTTTTTTAATTATTTTAAAAAATTTTCCTTCTTTTAGAACATTCTAAATTTTGATTAAAAAAACTTTTTTCTATTTGTATCAGCGGAACTAGTAAATAACATAGACAATTTTAGCACGTTTTTTTGGTATGACACACATTAATTTGAAAAATCGTGCAAAAATAAAAAATAATTATCGGATGTTAATGAAACTTTCAGAAACTATTCACAGATGATCGAAATTATTATAAATATGTTTTTTTTTATGAAAGTCATGGTAGAAATATTTTTTTTTAAAATATTTATTACCCCCCCATAAATAATTTTATGAAAATGCTAGAAATTCGATCGCATCGGTTTTAGTGATTACAATAATTAAAAAGCACAGGGCTTTGAGGAATGCAAATCATGTTTTTTTTTGTTTTTAATTGGATACGCAGTACCTGAAAATCAGCTCTGAATTGTAACATACAAAACTCAATAAAACAAATATATTATTTAATTTCAAATGCTTTTATTTGCTTTTAGTTGTTTTTATGAATATGGACAATATTTTCTGAAAGCAAAAAAATTTTTCGATGAAAAATGAATTTTAATACAATTATTTGTTATTTCATTAATTATAATAGATTTTACATTTAAGTTGTTAAAATATTATAAAATTAGTTAAAAAAGTCAAGATCGGCTTTCATAAGTGTCCTTATGAGATAGATCTTTTTTTAAGCGTTGTAAATTGTATCATTTTGACTAATCAGAAGATACCCAGTAATTAAGAAATGTAATTTTGTGCTTATAATCAAGCTGTAATTATAAAATACGGAAGACCAACCAGAATATAATTAAGTTAAGCGTTATTTGAGTTAAGCATTGTTCTCCGCTGTTAAGGCCTTTTACTTTTTTGGAAAACACGTGGGAGAAGTTAATTTGATTTTTCAATTTCAACTGAGAAGGGTACCTACAAGTATCAGTATCATCTTATGAAATTTATATGATCTTATTTTTATATTAATCTCAGTTATGATATTTTTCCATAAATGAAATATCAAAATTAATAATAAAATGAATGCAAAAACAAATAACAGTAGAATGTAATAAATGTACATAAAATTATAGTATTTTATGTACAATTCTGATAAAATTTCATAAGAAAGGTACCTATAAATTAATTAGATACCTTTCTTAAGAAATATGAAATTTAATGTCACTCTTAACAGTTTTACTTTAATTTCTTTACAATATATTTCCCATAAAGCATCATAAACGTAAAGGTGAAAGCTAAGTACAAAAAAAAAAAAAATTAGACCGCTGAAAGTTTTCGTTAAAAATAACGGGTAAATAATTTGTTCACGTAAATGTAAATTATTTCACTTTTTCTCCTTCCGTAGAACAAATTAGCCTCATGGAATTAAATAAATATATCATTCATCACATGTCAAGAGACGCGAAAGTTTATGACCTGCTTTGTTTTATTTTCAAATTACATCTTTTTTTTTGGCAAAAAGCTAAGTTAAGTTTGGTTCAAAATATTTTAAATAAACATTATAATTTCTGATTTTCTTAAAATAAGTTTTGAAAAAATGATAATTGATATTTAAAAATTTCAAAGTCAGATTTCCAGTTTTTTTAAAATGGAAAAAAAAATGGTCAATTTTGCTGACTCAAAAAAAACTAGATTTTTAACGAAAATTTCGGACGTGCTAGAACGATTAAAAATGGAAAAAAATACCCCAAAAATACTTTTGACCTTTCCTCTTAATAATAACAAACATTTAGACGATAAAATTTTGTTTTCGTCAAGTTTGGCGTCTTTTTCATCATGCTATGCTCTTTTTTTAGCGATCTCGTGGAGGTACCTATCTTAATATGTCCAAACACAGATCTTGTAAAAACAGGTAACTGTTTGTAGTAATCAATGAAATGTAATTCTTGTTTTGATTGTTCCCAGTTGAATTGATACATTTTAAGCCCTAGTGTTATTATACTAGAAATATATTTATTTTTTATTTTTTTTTTTTGTTAATAAAGTTGTTTATATTTTCATTTTAATGTATGTACACATTACATCTCTCATGATCTTGCTTCTGCCATATCTCTAGTCACAGCTTTTTGAAAAATTGATTTACCTTTTTACCTTCCCTTTTGAAATTTTCATTTTGAATTTTTATTTTTTTAACATTTCCTCTTAATAAACGACCCTTTGCAATTTGTAAAAGTTCAAGTGCTGATCAAGCAACTCTTGACTGGAGGCTTGAAATATAAGCATTTGTCAATTCACTTTTCCTGTCCAGATCACCTATGAGCAAGAAATTGATGCCCAGTCTTCACTTTTCAGTCTTGATAGAGTTCAAAAGCATTTACATGTTCTTGTGTGTAATGAATTATTTTCCAACTTACAACCCCTTTTCTACAGCTGAAACACTGCAAGCCTCTTGCTACTATATTGCTATTTCCATGGAAAATCTTGTGAGAATTAAGCTCCACTTAAACAGCTTCTTTTCACAGACTGCTACTTTGTGGAACCAACACCTAAGGGAATGCTTTCTCGATCACTACAATCTTAACGTGTTCAAGTTAACGGTTATCTTTCTCACATATCTTCATAAAATACACCTTTTATTTTTTCCATTCATGCAACAGACTCCTTCAGTAACTCACTACTTCATGTGGCTCTTGGGCCTTGTATGGGGTGAACATTTAAGGAAAAAAAGTGCAACCCTTTTTTTTTTTTTTTTTTAAATACAAGAGATTTACAAAGCAAAAAAAATCTAATAAAACTATGGGTGACAACAAAAACTGTATTAAAAATATAGATATGACATCTAATGCAAATGATGTAGTGAAAAGTTCTTGACTGATCTGACCAAATGTCAAATCTTTTCTTCTTCATTAGTCCTACAAATATTCAGCATTTCTTTATATATGTTGAGTATAATATATATTTATTATTGTGTTCCAAGTTTAAGTCACAGTTAAATACGGATTGTTTGAAATGAAAGTAATAAGATGAATGACGTTGCATAATCATTATATGTTTTTTCATTACATTTTTCTATCTTTTTTATAGGATAATGAGAACCCAATAAAATTAATGCAGCAGATTTCAGATATCAAAAAGGAATACTTGACACTTGTTGATGAAACTAAAAAAGTACAGGAGGCACAGAAGGTTAGTGTTGACTAATATTTATATCTATACAAGGTACAATACAATAAGCTGGAGATATTTGGACTTGAAAAGGGGTTTATAGCTTTCAAAATTGTAACTGACAATTATTAAGGTTTTAAGGCACAGTATCCTCTACATTTTAAAAAATTATGAAAATTCAACTGTTTATTGAATTTAACCAAATTGTGTACTTCTTAAAAATATTTTAAGATATTAGAGACAAATATTTAATATTTAATTCTTTTTGAGATTGTCAGTTAATTACTTTTATTTTTATATATATTTCGATACTGTATTCTTTCAGGATGTAGGCAATCACAGTTCTAAGTGTCATTACTTCTTGGGAAAGATAGTGGAGTGGTTTTCTGTTACATTCTTCATGGTTTTGAATTCAGTTTTCCTTCTGTTACCATCAAAAGCTACTTAGTCCAATCTACCCTGCTATTTAACTCCTAGTTGACATAAGAAGTGATGCATTCATTCCTTTCCCTGGGACATTTGTATTAATGTGAGGCTAAGTCAAAATTTGAACTGTTTTCTAATTGTCCCCTCTTAACAATAATAACTATTACACTATTCACATACCCTCTCAATTGACCCACAGCAAATAATTTTAAAGATATTTTTAATTTATAAACTATCTAACTTAAAAAATATTATTCAATCAACTTGTAATGGTGGGTTGAATTGGAAATAAGTGTGAAAAAAACAAAAGACCAAATATTTTTCATTTAGTATTTGTTTATTAAACTTTAATATAGATATAGTTGTTGATTGTCAGCAATAAAAACTTATGTACAAAGAAAAAGTTTGGTATCTGCACTCAGCAGTGGCATCCACTCTCATCTGAACATCGGGATTGTCATCCACTCTCCCTATTTTCTTTCTTTCCACTCCCCTGGTGGTGGTTGTGAACATGCCTGTGAATCAAAGAGTTTGATGAGGCCAATCAAATTGAATTTAATTTTGGTAGACAACTCTGTGTGACAGAAGCCTACACATTTGGCCAGAAGGGGATTGAGACAGGCATAATCTGGCAAAACTGGCTGTCAGATTCTTGGTCCATCAAGGTTCATAAAGGTCCACTTTGGTTATGCCAGCCCAACTGGTGCTGCCTTCTTTCACCAGTTTGACCTTGAGATCCTGTAGATTTTTGCCTATTCAGCTGTTGGAGGTCTTCCGTGGGGTTGGTCACATTCGGTTTAGTGTTTTCTCCTTGACCATACCGCCATGCAGTTGGAACAGCAGATGGCTTTGCTCTTGGGATCACTGAGACACACAAGCCCTCTACCCAGACATAAAACAACCATATATATATTTTACGCTGAATGTCAAAGTTTGTTATCTCTATGTACCACTTTGACTTATTACTTTAATGATGATAATAGAAACATTTCAGTAAATGAGAAAAGAATAAAAGTATAAAGTTATCATTAAATACAGGAAAACATTTTTTATTATTGTTGTTGCTAAAAATAAATATTTGAGAGATAAATTATAATGGAATAAATTCACTACTGAATCAATAGTAAAAAAAAAAATAACATTACTCTAAATGCTTTTCCTACAAATTTGAAAATATGTCCTTCTCCATAAAAAAATGTTACATTACTACAATCCATAAATAAGAAAAGAGTAAAAGAATAAAATTATTGGTAAATGTTGTTAAAATGTTTGAATGATAAGGAAAGAAATTGATACTGAACCAAAAGTCAATGATAAATAAAGATTATGATTTGAAATGCATTTCCTACAATTTCAAAAATGACTTCTTCTTTCATAAAAAAAAGAGAAATGTTAAGAATTATTAATGCCAGTGTATAAGTAATTTAATAAATACAATTTATTAGAGATGTTCCTAATATAACAATATCCTAGTGATAATAGACTTTCTTAATAAAGTAAACATGTTAAAACACTTATTTTAAAAATAAAACAAAGAACAATCAATGTATACAGTGACTTAACAAGAAAATAATCAGATATGTATTTTAATAATTAAATATTGTAAATGCATAATAATATAACAAAATTATAACATAATTAATTAATTAGAAAAGCTTTGACTTGCTTTTGTAAATACATTATGTTAAGGACATTATTTTGTGAAGAAATAAAATTTTTTCGATGAATAATATATTTTTATAAAAAATTTTTTCATTTTTTAAAAACTTTTTTTTATTAATATAATATTAAATTATTAATACTTTAAAAATCGTTTAAAATTCTCCATTGCTTTTAGCCTTGCAATTCAATGATATCGTTAAGTGAAAAGTAAATTTACGAATCAAAATTTGAAAAGGTCATAACAGTCGTTTGTACCCAAATATTTTTAAAATAATATAAAAAGTGAAAAAAAAAAACGTTCCTAATTTCTATCTATGGGGAATCTATACATGACATAATCCTTAAAAAGATCACGTGATTTGATTGTCGTTTGAGGCACTGCAATTATTTTCCTTCAATATCCAGTTCTGTTTCACATCGGTAACGTCCTTTCAAAATTTCTAAGTTAGTTTTAAATTTTGTGAATTACTTTTTTACTGAATATTTTTATCTTAGGTATTTATTTTAATTTGGGTCATATTTCATTGAAGTAATTTTTTATTTAAGTTTTAGTAAGTTGTTAAATATGATAAAAAGATTAAGAACCTAAGAAACGAAATCCAGACTAAAAAAAAAAAATTAAATAAAAAATAAATATTACATAATTGCTGAATAAATGTTAATATTTAAAAATTACTCTTTAAAAATAAAAAACACATTCTCTTACTTCGTAAAATTATGTCAAATTTGATCATCCATAATAGCTGTAATCACCTCTTTAACATATCGATAACATTTTTACATTTTTTTTTTTTTTTTTTTTTATAATTCAGAGCTGATTTATTTTCTATAAAGAGTCCTGTTTTTAATTAATAAAACAAATCCCATGCTTAAAGATTTAATTTCTCAAAATTTCATGAAAATATGTCAGAGGGTGGAAACATGTTTAAAAAAATATCTTTTTAACAAAAAAAAAAATTTTCTCAATAATTTCATTCATTTCTGAATATTTCCTGAAAGTTTCATTAAAATCTGACAATTATTTGATTTTTGCAAGAATTTCCAAATCAATGTGTGTTTTCCTCGGGAAAAGCGCAAAATAAAACAAACCTTTTTTCTCTATCATTGCGCTGTCATCAAAAAAGCAAAATTTTTAACCAAAATTTTCTACTTGCTAGAAAGGAGCAAAAAATTTCAAAAAATAATAAAAAAATACTTTGGTCTTTCCTCTTAATAACAACATAAACATTTTGATGACAAAACTTTGTTTTCGTTGAGTTATGGGCCTTTCTTCATTGTGATATGCTGTTTTTTTTTTTTACGCGACCTAGTGGAGGTACGTATAATAAACAAAGAAAAATATAATAATAAATAGATAATTAAAATAAAGACATTGGTTTCTTTGAGCAATGAAAAAAACACATCTATTCACTCAGACATCAGCATTTAATGGAATGGTAAAATGTTCTAATCCATTAGTGAACATTTCCAATTTTACATCACTATACTCTTGATTTGAGCTGATAGGTCCCACATTTCATGATGATCTTTGGCCTTTGTTTAGATTACATGTCTCCTTGGAGATGTATTATGTTTTGCTTTTTATTGTGCAGTCTCTGTTAATTTACTAGATATTTAAGTATTATTAAGAAGTAAATTTAAATTCTTATCTATTATCAATTCATAGCCATAAAGTATTATAAACTTTTATATGCTTGTCTGTTGCACACTACATATGCTTTGAATTTGCATTTAATACATTTAATGCATCATTACATCCATAATTTTGTTTTTAAAAATGTTTTGTAGAGTTTAAAATATAATTTTGTATAAGATAATGTAGCGGGATAACTAAGGTGTGGATAAAGATAATATTTCAAAGTACTGGTTCAACTCGATCTTTGAATCATGCATTCTTTGTGCTTTTTGACTTAATTTTTTCTGCCTTCAGTATCTTATTATATTATCTATTATACAATTATTGAAAATATTTTTATAATTTATATTTATGATAATGCTTTTGTAATTGTATAAATTTATTCCAGGAAATGATGGATTATTTTCATGAGCAACTTGGAAACCTTATCAAAATAACAAAGCATTTGGAGTCTCGGACAAATTGCAATGTAGGTGGATTTCTTTAATTTTTTTTTTTTTTTAATTCCTTTCGCTTTTATAAACTTTAAGATAAAGCATTGGTTAATCTTTGCCTTTACTTATAGTATTAAACTTACATCCTACTAGTCAAGTATTTATTAATTATTCATTATCAAAAAGTAGTAGAAACTAATTCTACTGAAGTATGAAACTAAATTTTTAACACTTTAATAACAATGATATTTTATCTAAGTCTTCTAATAACCTATAAAAGTTAATACAATCTTTATTGGTGCATCTTCATTTTCTCTTCTCTTAGATTTTCTATTAATTATATCTTTTTATTTTCTGTTAGGACTTCTAAAAATTAAATACACTTTCAAAAAGATTTTTCATTAATACCCTTCATTCTTTCTTGTATACAAAGAAATCCAAATTTATACAACTTTATTTAATAAAATTCTTTATCTACTTTAGATTTTAATCAGTTTTAAAATTGGTTACAACATGGTAAATAACCAATTAGATTTAGATTTCTTTGTATACAGGAAATAATCTTAATTTTGTTAATTTTATGACTTTATCTGATATTGAAAACCAAATTACTGCATATATTTTACTTCCTAGCATATTATAACACATTCACTTGTACCGAAATGTTTGAAATCCTTCTGCATATAAAATATGCTTTTGTATTTTGCCGACAGTTGATATAACTTATGCATTCATATTTAAATATTGAAATGCATTTCAGAAAACCCTTTTCTTGCATCTGTTTTGTTTATTGTCAACTTGTAACTGGTTATATATATATTGATTCCTTTAACTTGGATGTCATTTTGTTTAAAATACCATTGCTGAGTACAGGTTGAACAGAACATCAAAGTGTTGTGAACAAGTTAAAAGACATAACAACAATTGTCATGTAGCTAATCAGTTAATCACATATTAATAATTAATTAAAATAAATGATAATTGTTTGAAACTTTCCTCTTTGATATCAAACCTCAATGTTTTCCTTATTTTTATTAAAGTGTATATTGTTAAATAATGAAGTACAGTATTTGGTTAGTTCAGCATTTGTTTTTGTTTTTTTTCCTTCAGTGAATCCAAGTTATTAGTGTGATAAAATGTGTTCATTGAAATAAACCTTGACTTATTTTTGTTTTGAAAGGTTTCTGAAACATCAGATGAACTGAAAGCTTTGGAACAACTTACTGGTGTCCCAATCCTGAGTACTGCTCCAGAGAAGATTTCCACTGAAGATCAGGTGGCAGAATCTCAGAAGACTTGCCCAGAGACTTTCAAGAACACAATTATCAAAGAAAAAGTGCCAGAAAAGACATTCAGTTCAATAGGTTTGGTGTTGAAATTTGTTAGAAATTATATATCAGTAAACAAATGCAATAAAATAATTCATAGTAGATAGATTTAAGATGTAAAGAGTGTGTGTGTAATATCTGTAAAGTTTAAGAGAGAAGGAACCATTTATGTCTAATTGTTGGACAGTCACAATTGTACAGGATCTAGTTAAAGAATGAACATTTAAGGTAATACTTTTTGTTTTGCAGACCTCACAATTTCAAATTCTTGCAAAAATTCTACAAAAACAACCATAATTACATAATTCAATAATACATTAACAATATTTCACTTGATTTCTCTGTTTGTTAATAATTCTTTTTGATATAAGCTTTGGATGAATCATTAGGGTACATAAATCAGTGTGTTTATGCATGGTTTATTTTTTGTGTGTAAGTGTAATATATATAAATATAGATACACATACACCCAGCAGTGATTGTTTCATGCTTAAACTCAATCTTCAGACCTGAAGATTGCATTTAAGCCATTTTTCCTAATAAACCATACTAATCATTATGCATCAGAAATTAAAATGTAGTTACCAATAAATATAATAATATATATAATTATTAAATAACATACCTAATAATAAGATCTTACATCATAAGTTAATTATTTAGTCTACTTACATACAAACTATTGTGATCCTCATTTTTGATGTTTTCAAAAACAATAACAAATATAAGGATCACAATATCCTGCATGTAAAGAATAACTCCTCATTCCAGAAATTCAGACAGAAATCAATTTTTTTTTTCTCTTTTGCTTTTCCAAATTTTCTCTTTAGATTTTGTCAAGTCGCCATCAACAAAACGAAAGAATACAACTGAGTTTATGCCATTAACTGAAGAAGAATTTAATCAAGTCTCTAATCTTGTGCGTGGCCGAGCAAAACTGGAAGATGTTAACAATGTAAGTGTTTTCCAAGACAAAAAATGCTACTTAAACGTTAGAAGTCTAATTAGTCTGTTTTTATTTTTTTTGTATTTTATTTATCTTTTTTTGTGTGTTAACGATAAAATTGATTAGTCAATTTCCAGTGCAAAATATTTCTAAGGCAGGCACAATTTCACTGATTACAAAAGAATTAGCTGTTTTTTGTTTCTCCTGTGATTATGGTGGTTGTATTTTTCTGTCAGTCTCAATTAAAATATGCTAAAATTCTCAATTGTACAATCTAAGAACGTTAGTAGAAAATAGGTGATCCTTCCTACAAATAAACTAATATGGAAGTAGTCCTAAAGATTCCCTCTTTATTTACAATAAATCTGTAATTGAAAGAATCTTGCTTATTCATTAAATATAAAATTGAAAAACATGTATATTCATTGCGGTATATAAGTAAAATACATCAATATATAAATTGTAAACAATTATTGTATCAGCAAAAGAAGTGCTATAAAAATTTGGACTTATTTATTTGTAACTTGTTGTAAATAAAATATGAATATATCTGACTAAATGAAGCAAAGCATTGTTCAAGTATCAGTATGAGTACTTTCAATATCAGGAATTGCTCTTTACCATCACCTTTGTTTCAACAATTCTCATTAAATTCCTCACTATGTTATATCCCTTTATTCAATTTTAAAATGCAAAGAAAACAAATATTTATGGATTATCACTATTTAACAAGTGTAATTGCTATTTTCATATCTGTGATTATTCTTTCCATTTTTGCATACGCCAAAGTATTAATATATCATTAAAAAATGAAGAAAATAACGTGACAACTTACCAACAAATGATTTTCAAATTTCATTTTATTCATATTGAATGATTTTTTTAAAACACACTGCTAAAATGTAAAATTGTTATTGATATTAAATATTGCTGGCTACATTTCAGATTAATGCTATCTCTCTCTCTCTCCTCAATGTTTTCTTAGTTTCTATACTCTAATTAACCTCTTGTGTTTTAGTGGCTTTATTGCCTTGCTTGGGGTGAAATGATTAAAAATATACATAATGAACAAACTGATATATGATACTTCTAAAGTAAAGACATTTTAGTAAACTAGATGTTAATATAATAACATGATATTCAAAAGTATAATTATTATTGATTTTCTTTTTTTTTTTTTTTTTATTTTATTTTTGCAATTTTTTTATCATTTTTGGTGATTTAAGGATTTTAGACCTTTTCTAAAATCTTGTGATTATAACATTTTGTTATTTGGTCCTGAATTTTCAGATATACATTCATTCCCTAAATTCATTCCAAGAGAAAATTAAAATAAGTAAAAATAAATGTTTCTTAAATCTATAAATAAATAACTTTTAAGAGATATTTTATTTTTAGAGTGAGAAAACATAAACAATTATATTAAATATAATTGTTTAATTTATTAATAGTGTAAATAATGATAACTCCTTAAAAATGAAGTAATATGAAAAAATCATTGATTTGTCTCTTGTTTCAGACAAGATCTTATGATCTGGCAATTTTAGTTCTAATTCAAAAATTGATGTGGGCTTTAACATTTTCTTAATAAAGTATTGCATAAATACAGTTGATAAATTTTGATTTGATAACATATCTTGTTGTCTGATTCTCATTTGCAATTTATTTTTCTTTTCACACATTATTCTGTTAAATCTTTCCTTTTTAAAAAATTAAGAACCATTTTTCCCCCTTAATGGCTAAAATAGATCTGATGAAACATTTTCAGCACTAAAACAGACCTTCTTGATTTTAAGAAAGCCTAAATGAAACCTTTCACCCTGTTATCTAATCATAGAATTGAACTATGTATTTATTGAATCATAAGATTATTTAAAAATCATCATTATCATGAGCTCTTGAATAATATTTAAAATATCATAAAAGATTTCTAAATTTTTTTTTTTTTTTTACTGTATTTACAATCAATCAACATAGGTATAAATTATTTTTCTGTAAGGACTTTTAAATTAATAAATCTCAGTAAGAGGCTACTATTTATGGTCTCCTGGTGAACATTGCTTGTACTGTAAAGGTAAACAACAGTTTTTATTTTCTGGTAGCTGGAAAAATTCTTGCAAAACGTCTGGAAAATTTTCAGCTAGATTTATTTTATGTAGTTGAACCAAATAATAAAGATTCAATTTATCTCAACAAAATAAGTGTTCAGTTTAGCATTTTGCTTAAAGTGTAAATTGAACTCCATCATTCAAAAAAGATTTGAATGTTTCAAAATTTGCTATGCTAAAAATGAATAGACATCAAACTTGTTGGTCATAACTTTAGCCATTTATAAGTTTTGTATGTGATGATAGACAAAAATGATATTTGCCCAAGCTAAGCAAGACTAGACACTGGACAAAAATTTCACTTGTATAAGGCTGGGTTGAATTGGTGGTTTTTATGACATGTCATCCCATGTTGCGTTCATCTTTATCATCAGTTACATGACTGGAATATAGTCATAAAGCCACAGCACAGCAGAACACTTGACTAGCTCTTTCCAGTTCTTTTCACTCATGCATAGTAGACCTAGCAGAGACCATCCCTATCCAAGTTAAAATTATTTAATGTTAAAATTGTTTTTTTTTTTTATTGGTCATGTTCATACTTGAATCTGCAAAATATCACCTGGTAGGTGATATTTTTTATGCGGTGGAGTCTTGCCTGCAGGGTTTGCAGTTAAAATATTCTACACCCTACTGACGACAGTTATAAAGATGGAGAAGGACCCTTCCTTAACATTGTGTAAAAATGACCAATACTGATAGATTTTTTTTTTTTTACAGTGCTACCAAGTCCTTTGGCAATATTTCAAAGAGGAAAAGAACAAGTAAGATGTTTTTGTTAAATGAAATAATTTTACTTTTAAATTTTTATCATAATGATATGAAATGATTTTTATAATCTTTCTTGTAATTATATATCTTTACATTCTAGCATTCTGATCTTTCAGCCATTGAATCCTCTAGCCATCTTCAGGTGACTGTTGTACTTGGTAACCTTCTTGGAATTTTGAACCAATCTCTTTATTCAATCCAATTAATATTCTTTAACATTTGTGTCATTTGTCTCTTTCTTCTAGCAAACCAGAGCATATAAGTTTTTTGCACTACCCAGCCCAGAGATTGAACTCATAATTTATAAGGAATCAAATATGTTTTAACCAGCACTTTAATACATTAAGTCAAATGTCACTTGGACACATGGCTTTGAGATTCATTGGCAGTTCTGAATTCTGTGTGTGTGTGTGTGTGTGTGTGGATGGACTGCTCCATTGTTTATATAGATTCCCAACTTGCTGGATTGCCACCAATTATATATTGATATTATTTTGTCACACACATTTACAATCTTTTTTTAATTAAGTTACATATTTCTGATGTTTGTCATGCATGCATGCATGTACGTATATATATATATATATATATATATATATATATATATATATATATATATATATATATGAATGAAAAGACAAGAGGAAAACTATACTTAGTTTAGCCAATGTGTTTCATCCTTCAACAGACTTTATCAAGGCAAATGTGATGGTTTTATTTTGCTAGAAGTATATATTTGTTAGTTACTCAAAATTTCCAAATTAAAGAATACTCATACGTTAACTGAAAAGAATTAGGTGTTAGATCCTAGATTATGTCATATAGTATCTTCAAAAGGAAATCTTTAAATTTAAAGATGCTCAATAACAGGTTAACTGAAATGTCTAGGAATTTAGACATTAGAATACGTCATTTAGTATACTTGAAAAAGACATAAAAAAAAGGAAATTTTTTTTTGCTTGAAATTTGAGATAAATATTTGTATTATACATCTCCAAATCAGCTGTTTTCCTGTGTTGTTTTTTTTTTTTTTTTTTTAACACATTTTGTTGCGTATATTGTAGTAATTCATTCAGTAAAGGTAAGATTGGGAAAGAATCAGGGCATAGATTGATATTTTGATAATATTTTATGGTGGCAATCTTGAGGATCTTCCTTCAGAATAAATTACTTTCTCTGAGTGTTGTATTTTTATTTTATTTTTTTTATTTTTATTTTATTTTTTTTTTTTTTTTTTTTTTTTTTTTAGATCATAATTCTGATCGAATTGTGTATGACTAGTGCATTTGTTAAATTATTATTTATTGTTAAATTATTATCATTTGTGTTCATAGATCCATTTTTTTTTTAATTTCTTCTTTCCTCAACATATTATGAAGAACAATCTAGGCAATTTATTTTATATCTGCCTGCTTCTTATTGATATGGATGTTTTTAGATCTGATTACATGCATGATGGTTTTAGAAGTGGTTGTAACTATATATATATATATATATATATATACGCACACACTACTTACATCATTTGGAGTGTTGTCCTCATCTTTATTGTCATATTCACATCATTTTGGTCATTGTATGCTTCGGCCTTCTTCAAGTGATATTTGTTTTCTGAGTGTTATCATCTTTTACCTGTCTATCCCATTTGTGGGTGTTGCTATCATATACCCAGAGTAGTTGTTACCTTGCCAAGTACTGCCTATACTAACCATTTCTTTTTCATGCATCTCTGGGTCGCCACCTATGACTTTTGCTTGATGTTGTGGGCAGCAGACCATCCCTTTCTTTATACTGTATAGGTGGTAGAAGTATTGTCCAGTGAATGCATACAGATGACTTGACTCTGTTAGAGATATTAGTACATCCATAAATGCTAGTTGTTTTTTCTCTCCAATGTGAACTGTATCAATTGTCTTAATGAGTTCAGATGGTCCAGTAGTAACTGGGACTTTTTCTGGTGGGGCCAGCGTATGCAGGTCTCATGTACATATCTCAGCCATAGTGTTGGCTTTAGTGATGTTGATTCTAATTCCATTTCCCCAAAGTATTACATGTATATGTTAGCAGTTTCTGGTGATAATGGAAAGGCCATTGCCAAGCCTTCATCCTATCAATATGTCTGGTCCCATTCAGAAGTATATTATATATGTGCAGAAAGTTGGCATCTTCAGAGCATATGAGTTTTTTGCACTACCCAGCCCATACCCGTACGTATATGTGTACGTTCTCCTATAGATGAGCCCAAGATCATTCTGTCCCTGATTACTGATAGTGCCTCCTCTGTGGGTCCCACATCACATCCATCTGGTTAGATTGGATGTGAGCATTTTTATTATTTCCATGAAGTGGGTAGAGTTTTGGACATATGATGGTGACTTTCCTATTAATGGGTTAACTATATTCACAAAGATGTGGCTCAGAGGGTGGCACATAGTACCTTGGCAGCTAACAATTGGCCTGAGAGGAATGCCATCTTTGTGAATTTTGCGGAGACAATATATGTGAGGTAGCATGCTATAATGTTGTGACAACTGCCTGTATGTCTTAGGTGGGAAGTCTGTTGATAATATCATTTCTCTGTAGGGTTTTGACTGCCAGTCTCTCCTAGTTTTGTGATGTTTGATTTGGGCAGCTTGGCCTTCTCTACGTCACACTTTCCATCTTAGCTCATATGTATTAGCCTGAGAAATGTTCAAAACTATTTCTTCAACTGGAGGCTATTTCTAACTATGGTATCTGCTTGATGGTTGTTGTGAAGTTGAAACCCTTGTTCAGTAGTGATTCCTCAAAGGTACTCAGCTGATGTTGACTGATATTGACTACTGAGGGGTGATGGACCTTGTGCATTACCTTCTGATCTTTTAATCTGTTCAATTTCTGTATTTGATGGGCCTTGACTGCATCATATTCTTATCCCTAGGATTTATCCAGATCCTGATGGATTCTGTTTCAGTCTTCTTTGTTGGTAATTCTGTGGAAGAAGGCCTCAGGCCTCTCGGAGATATTGGATTGCAGCTGATGTCTTATCCAACTGTTGTGCTGTCCCACTTTTTCTGAGGTTAGAATTCCTTTCCTGGAATTGAGTGGAAGTTTTGGTGTCAAGCCTGAAGGGATGAGTCTCAAGTCTCTGCATCAGTGTAGGAATGTCAGATGGCTTGACATTTATGAAAGCTTCTATTGGGACTATTCTAATTCTCTCCATATTTTTTTTTTTTTTTATTTACATTTTTTGCACTATTGTCCTCATCTTTATTGCCATATTCACAATGTTTCAGCTGTTGTAAGCTCTGGTCTTCTTCAGGTGATATATACTGGAACTTCAAACCAAACCCTTTATTTAATCCACAGGGATAGATTGTTCTAATTCCATGTACCATGCCCTTGGATATCTTGGTTTCAGTTAATTCCTATTAGTAACATGGAAGTCTTAACTATGTAGATGGTTACAGTGCTTCATCTCAGAAATATATATATATATATATATATAGAGTCTGCATTACAAACATCAAAAATATTTAATTTAATTAAAAAAGATTGTGCTTTTAGTATTGTAAGTATATTATTTTTTTATTTATTTATTTAAAATCATCTCACCCGAACCAAGGCAGGAATGCCACTCTTATGCAGGAGGTTACAGAGAGTGAAAGTGAGAGTAAAGATTGAGTATTGAGAGGATGGAGGAAAGGACAAAGATGGATAGAATTCAAGAGGACAGAGGATGGCAATTGACATTGCATTTAAATTTTTGAAGATTGTATTTATCGGTGAAGCAACTAAATGGAAGATAAGAAACTGTTGGAGTAGAAGTGGCTGTTGCCTGTAAGTGTTTCAGTAATAAACAGGTGGGGCCTAGATGCCAATCTAGTAGCATGCTTAAATTCAGGTACTTGGGGCACTGGTGGGGGGGAAGCCCAACAGTGCAGTTGCCATGAAAATATTTGTAGAAACGTCAAAGCAAAACCCACACCACGTCAGTGTGGAAGAATCTCTAAATAACTAGCAGAGGTACCAGACCAGCAGTATTCAATGCCTGGACCAATGGTAGATTTGTAAATGTGGAAAATGGACTCTGACGAGAAAATTCTCTGGCATGACACAATGACGCAATTTGCTGCCAGTGCATCAACTGATTCAATGTAGTTGCTCCACTTCAAGTCAGTTGAAAACATGAGACTGAGAAGGCGTAGTGTGTTGCTATGAGTCTTGCATTTAAAAGCCATTTCCTGCCACAGTTAACCACTGATTGGAGGCCATTTTCAAGAGTGGTGGCCAGGTTTACTTTTTCAGCTCTGATGGATTTGCTATCGAGACAGGAGTAAATGGTAGTGTCATCTACAGGAAGTTCATTGATGAAGATTAGAAACAGCATAAGCCCCAGGATAGAGCATTGGGGGGACACCTGCATTTGTATGAAAGGAACTGGAAGCGAGTCTGTTCAAAATGTACTTTATTTCAAAATTCAATAGGAATGATTGGATTAAATCAAACAATTGTCCGGTAATACCATAGCCCTGAAGCTTAAGTAGAAGACTAGTATGCCAAAACCTGTCAAACACCTTAGATATCTATAGCTACAGCTCAAGCTTCACTGTTATTGCCAAGTGCTTGACATATATATTCAGTAGTGGCCATTAAAACATCACTGGTAGATCTGACAAAACATGAGCCATATTGTTTGTCTGAGAACAGGTTGTGAGAAGTAAGATGTTTAACCACTTCAGCATTGATTAGAGACTTGAATACTTTGCTGAAAAGTGGTAAGAGATCCTATTGGGTGATAGTTTGAGGGGTCAAAGGGTTCACCAGAGTTCTTAAAAACAGAAACTACAGAGGACTTCCAACAAGTTGGAAAGCAGGAAACAGCAAGACATTTGTAGAGTTTGGAAAGAACTGGAACCAGTTCAGGAGCACATTTTTTAGGACAATGTCTGGGATACCATCACTTCCACTTGTCTTGTGGGAGTCTAGTTTAGAAATGATGTCTAAAACCAGTGATAGGCTTATGTGCATATCACTCGTTAAAGTCTCTGTTCTAGTAGGGGAATCAGGTATGGGTACTCCAGATGAGTCATGTGTAGAGTTGCAAGAGAATTTCCAAGCAAAGCATTCAGCTTTATCTGCTGTAAATGTTAGGACTTCAAATTGATTGAATAGAGGAGGGATTGAGGATTTACTGTTGTTCAGTACACTCTTGCAATAATCTTTAGAACCGAACATGCAAGATGATATACATTGTTTTATTTTATCAGCAAACAATGACTTCCCTTCTTTGAGAACACTCTTGTACTCCTTACGAGCAAAGATATCTGTTGCAATCAAATGTGTCAGTCTGGTACAGCTGGAAGAAATGATTCCTGTGGGCTATAGCAGCTGAGTATGCAGATGAGAAACAAGGAGATGAATGTGATTTCACTTGGTATTTCCATGATAAAAAGAAAGTGAGGAGACCTCAGAGGTGCATTTTTGAACAGGATAATTAAAAACTTCATTCCAAGGGACATCATGAAGGAAGTCCTGGAACAAGTCCCAATCAGCTTGTTGATAACAGAAAGATGTTATGTTGATAGGAGGCTCTTGGCTGGTAGGAAGCAGAAAGAGATGTTTACAGACACTACTACATGATCAGAATTGCCAAGAGGGCAGAGCTGCAGAGTACAACATGAGTCAGGGATAAAGAGATCAAGAAGAGAAGTGTGGGTAAATCCACCACTCGCATGAGAGTTTGAGTGATTGAGAAATTCAGGGTTTGGATGCCAATAAGGTCAGTGACGGTGATTAAGCCCCCTGTCATGGTGGGGGTATTAAAATCACCAAACATAAATATATTTCCAGAAGGGTTGTAGAGAGAGTTGGCCTTGTCTACATTATCAGAAATATTATCTAGCACTTTACGGTCATGAAAGGAAGGGGAACAGTAAAGAAAAGAGAGATAGCCGACTGAGTTTAGTAGAGAGAGACAGACACATGTAAGAATGGTCAGGAGATTCAAGAGAGAGTTTCCTAGTTATTGGGAGATGTTCATGGGCTCACACATATGTAGGCTGCTGAAAAGGTCTTATCCTGACAAAAAAAGTCCTCACAAAAATCTGATGTTTGATTACATTTGGGGAATGGGTCAGGTGGAAAAAAATTTTCAGCACCAACTAATTATATATATATATATATATATATATATATATATATATATATATATATATAATTAATTCATCGAGTCTAGAAGAAACCTCAACAGAATGCAGAAAGCACTGGACGGCTGTTTCGTCCTATATTTGGAACTCATCAGCAGTGCACGTCCACTACCGAGAATTGAAACCCGGACAGCTACATTAACAAGCAAACATCATACCAACTGTACTAACGGGCCTCGGTGACAAAGAGGTAGCGAACTAAACTCAATATTGTGCCGCTTGTTCACATATTCCATGGTGGAACTCATCCAAGTTCCTTTACCCATAGGACTGTGCCTACGAGAGCCACAACTACCATCACCAAGCCGCTCCATCCAGAGCATTAGAAGCTGGTTCAAGGCCCGTTACTACAGTTGGTATGATGTTTACCTATCAATGTAGCTGTCAGTGTTTCAATTCTCAGTAGTGGATGCGCACTGCTGATGAGTCCCAAATATAGGACAAAATGGCAGTCTAGTGCTTTCTGCATTCCGTTGAGGTTTCTTCTAGACTTGATGAATTACTTAATTATCTCAAATCTTCCTTAATTTCTATCATATATATATATATTTGCAGAGGGTTTTTAACAACAAAAGAGATGCACAACATGGGTTTACGAATTACTGGAGCCACTGGAGAAGCTAAACTTAAGGTAAGTAAATTTTATTACTTCCTTTAGTAGTTATTAAACAAGAATTGGACATTTACTAAAAAAATGCTCTATTTTACATTGAATATTTAATTTTCTGTTAGACTTTTATAGATTAGGAATAATATTTATTTTATAAATTATGGTAAATTTTATTTTTATTGGAAGTCTCCTCCAACCCCAATAATACAGGCAAGATAAACACTCATGTCATTACTTTCTAAAGCATTTAATTTAGAAATCTACTTGGCCATAATATGTAGATTTTTTTTTTTTTTTTTGAATTTCAGTCTTTTACTTAATTTCATTTCATTTGGATTGAAATTAAACACTTTTATGATGTACCTTTCTATTGCTTTCTGTCTATCGTTCTCATTTTGTTCTTGTTTCTCTAATAATAAAATTATTTCACATTCATAATTTAAATTTATCTTGTGACTTGCCATGAATTCTTTAACTGTAATTTCTTATGAAATTATCATTACACCAAATAATAGAAAATCAATTTTGTTTACTATTAACACATATTTTTCTTATCCTTTCATTATTTCAGATATTGCGATCTTTGAAATTGCTCACATTAAATAGCCAAGGGTCAGCCCAGCTAACATGAAAACTATGAATGAAGAGACTGTTCTGCTATAATTGGATCATCTAAGCAGTTTAATTCTATTAGCCAAGACTTCAGACTGCTATGTTTGGGAAAGATTAACATATTATTCATTTCTCTGCAAGATTTCATTATTTTTATTATGGATTCTTTTAATTGTTTTCTAATAAATACAAAGAATTCTCTACAATCTATTTTTCCAGCCTTTCTGCATCTCTGAGAATAACCATATATTCTGCTCTTTTTAGAATAAATCTTGTAGATTATTGACAAAGGTACAGCAAAAATCTTGCTCAAAGCTTGACACAGTTTAATTTAATCTTCACTTGGTGAAATCCATGTCTACCTAAGAAGGTTTGAGAGAGGGGTCCTGCTTTTCTATAATTGCATTAATATAAAAAGATTTTGCAGCCTGCTCATATGAACAGTTTCCAGATGACCATTCACTTCCAAAATGTCCCTGAGATTTAAATTCCTTGTTTCTGTTAATTCTTTCATAATTAATTCGTTTGTTGCTAATATTCAGTTAAATTGATTATTCATCAGGGCAGATAAAATAAAAGTTATTGTGTTGCACCAATCATCTTACCTACCTTGAAAATCAGTAATTGAAATTCAGCATTTTGCTTAGACTCAAATACTCCCTAAGAATACACTGATGAGAAATATGCAGCAATCTGACCCAGTCAAGTAGATTCCTAACTCACAGGCTAGTGAATTAAATTTTGGTATAATGAATGTTTAATCATACCACATAAAATATCACATTTGTTTATATACTCATTATATGAGCAGGAATTGTTTATCATAATTAATGGCATAGTGCACATCCTGTCAACCAACAATTTTCATGCAAAACAAAAACAGAATGTATTTCAGGATTGACTGTTCCAAATACAAAGGTAAAATGTTTTTATGCAAACAAGACATCTCTTATGTCCCTTCATATGTGGTGGTTGTTTTCAAATGCATTTATGTATAAAATTATTACTATTTGTTGTATATGGTTAATATTTTTGTATTTATTAAAGAAAAAAAATGATTTGAGTTTTGTGTTCTTCCCTAAGATTCTGTCTTAAGAATTGTCTATATATATTTATATGTGTGTCTGTGTGTGCATTTTTATTTTACAAGAGCAACTAAATTTATTTTCCTGTAGTTCAGCACTCCCTGATGCATAAAAATTTAAAAAGACAGTAAACTCCCTATCTGTGTGTTCCAGGGATGCGCCAGTTTTCTCATGAAAATGAAGTATTGCATGCAAATCAACCTGTAACAGTTATGAGTTGGTAAAAGGAATCTTGATACTAAGTCAACATGGGCATTTAAGCCAATGATGTGTCCATCTTTAATTTAAAATGTAACTAATATATTCTTTCTGTAACTGAAAGCAAATCATTTGTCATGAATGAACTATGATATGGTACTTTGATATTTTTTTTAAAACATTTTGCATTTTCGTTGTTAAATATATAAAACATGTTATTTTAAAAACTATTAGTACTGTTGGTTGTGATATGTACTTAATTTATGTTCCATTTGGCATAATAGTTGAGTCAGGCTAATAATACCCTTTTCCTGGTTTTGAATGTACTTATGGCCAAATATGCAAATAAACATAAATTTTAATTAATGTAATTGTCTTTATGAATAAGTGGAAAAACTATTCTTAGCTGACAAGTTTCATCCTCTGAGGGGATTTTATGTTGGTGAATGAAATGGACAAAACTTTCCCAGTCCCAAATGAGCAACTAAATTAAAAAAAAAATTTGTTGGAAGACCCAGCATTCACTTACAAAGTGCTGCATTCCATTTGATGGTTATTGTATTACAATGCTCTTGAGGTTGTTCACAGGATAATGCTGACATACTTCCTTGCAGTGTGACTTCATGAGTGAGGAATAGCTAATGGTCTGTGAAGAGCAGCAGTTTGAAATTGCTCATGATGGATATGTGCAAACCATAAATGAATTGAGGGTGGAGGAAATTACTAGATGACTACCCATCCCTCATCAATATTGTTCAGTCCCAACTGAAGTGGGACTTAGTAAAGTAACCAAAGCACAGCATTACCCCAGAGACAATATGTGAAAGCTTTGGGCATTGATGACAAAATAGCACCTAAAATTTTTTCACAACCTCACCATCTGTGACTGTGCATGTGATGACTGTGAACAAAGGTTCTCTTCCTTGAACCTCATTCTTCATCAGAATGGACTATCATTAGAACATCAAGAGCAGCTTCTTACCATCAACCCAGGTTTACAAAAGGTCATAGTTCCCTTTTGAAGAGGTACTGGCCAAATGGAAATGGGTCAGAGAATGCTGTGCATTAGAAGATATAAGTAATTATTGACAAATGCTATTCAGTTTATTCATATTAATCTGCTTAATACACTACAAACATACCTGCATTGTTTCATCTTTCTCAACATACTTTTCACTTTTAATTAAATGTTTCATAGTGATTGAATTTTGTCATCAATTAAAATCACATTTGATTTAGTTGATTATTTTAAAACTAAAAGATCTTGGTGACAGTTCATAGACTCTATTAAAGTGATCAGAATGTTTTGTTCATGTATTACAATCAGCAATCTTATTAATGTATTTATTGTGGTGCTACTTAGGTACTACAATCATCATTTTATTTTGATTTCTTCAATGCTTTGTTCATGTGTAGTATACTCATCTCTATTTCATTTGAGTTTTTATTTTGGTGATATTTATGTTAGAGAAAAAAATATTTTCTTTGAATTTGCTAGCATACAGATGTGAACGTTAAAGAAAGTGCATCACTGATAAATTAGATTCATAGTTCGAAGCTGATTCAAGGGAGATAACTTAAATTTTTTAAAAGAAAGTTCATTTAATCCGACTTGTTTTTTTGTTTTTTTATATGAAACCAAAGTCAACACATCCAATTAATTTAATTTAAAAAAATAAGCTTTTGTTCTGTCATAATTCTTAAAAATAAAGAATATAGTTTCTTAATTGAATTGTGATTAAATGTAAATACTGTTTTTGAATTTATTAATTTAATTTTAAAAAAGATTTTTTTTTAAATTTAAAAAGAAAAAAAAAAAAACTTTGTTCTGACAGTTTAAGTGAGTTGAGACAAAAATTCGGGACGATATTAAAAAGAAAACTTAATCTAGAACCCTGCAGTTTAACGCTACAATTTATTAAGAAACTAGTTGGTACCCACTGAATTTCCCATGGACCTACTCAAATCACTACCTCTGGGACTTGGAGACTAACTAAATTAAAAACCTATTAGTATCACTTGTTCAGTCATTTATGGCAAGGTCATTCTAAAAAGACAATTTAAAAAAACTATTTGATGATGAAATTTTGTTCTGAAGTTTTCATATTTTTTTTTATTTTTTTATAACATAAAGTATTAACAAATTTGACCGTTTGAATCACATTATCCACAAATTGATATTTTGACATTAATTTTTTTTCTTTTTGCATAAAATTATCTGAAGATGATATTTTCCAAATAGCTGTTAATGTTTTTACCATTTTTGTACCATTACTTATAAGAATATGATCAATGGCTTCATTGAGTAGTGACATTTAACTAACATCATATAAATGAAAAAAATATCTCCATCTTGGCTCAGTTTCTGCTAACAATAAATGTCATGTTGAAATCAACAAGAAGGATACTGGAATATACACAGAAAAAAGACATCTTACAGAATTTTGAAATGAGTACATTAATTTGATTTCTTGCATCATAAATGTATTACCAGTGGATTTTGTTTTATTTGAAACTTCATTTTATCATAATTTGACAGAATATGCTTTAAATTTTTTTTCCCTAGCTATGGTGTCATCTCTTACCTTTTCCACAAAATGACATAAAAAAAAAACAGTCAGTTTTTTAAAAATCAAGTTGACATATGTGATCAGCTAATATTTCCCCAAGTGCTGTTTGCCACCAGGACTAGTGGTCTTGTATAATAAAGACCTAACTGTGGAGGATCTTAGGGGCCATGAAATATGATACTCTGTAAATAGTTTGTATAAGTTTACTGGTAAAATTAACTTATGATGAGAAAAGATTTTTGTTGGAGTTTTGGCAGGAAGACTTATTGTTATTTGTTATTTAAACTCAGACAATTGTTTTCATCTTTGTTTTCATCAAAACATTTCAGCCATTGTATACTGCAGCCTTCTTCAGGTGTTTGTCTATCTGAGTAACTTTCAGGGAATTTCAAACTGGACTCTTTATTTAATCTACAAGGGTAGATTGTTCTTGTCCTAGTTTCCTTGTCTAGTGGTGATAACTCATCTTGTTCTTTATTACTGCTCAGTTAGTGTTCAGCCTGTTTCTACTGAGTCTAAGTCTGCACAGAATAAAAACAAGCCTGATAACCTGACATCAGCCTGTACAGACAGAAACAGAAGGGTGAAGAAAGAGGATTGGAAAAGTGTTATGGTCTGTTTCCCTTACATCAAAGGTTTATCAAAGTTTGTAACCAATTTTGATAATGCCTAAAACTTAATAAAAACAAAATTTTATCATCAAAATCTGTTATTATTAAGAGGAAGATGAAAGGATATTTTGATATAATTTTTGTTTTTAGAACCTTGGAAATTTTCATTAAATTTGTACTAGAGATTTGATTTAGAAATTCTTGCAAAAATTGTATAATTGTTGATTTCAGAACGGAATTAAATTATTTTTGCAACAATTCTTTATTTAAAATCTGTTACCCCCCCACACACACACTAATATGATTTTATGAAATTTTGGAAATTATTTTTTTGTATCACTCAATATTTATATTTGTTATAATGACATAATAAGGACAGACTTTAAATCTTCAAACCTTTTGGTCAAATACAGAAAATCTGCTTTGAATCATAAAATTTAATATACATTCACTTATTAAATGTGAGCCTATCTGGATAAGGAACAAAGCCCTACTTTGTTTCTTTAATGTGGAATTTGGTAAAAAATACCTGAATT